AGATAGAAAGAGAAATTCCATTTAAACTTACTGTAGACATTATAAAATATTTAGGAGTCTACCTCTCAAAACAAACCCAGGAACTCTATGAACACAATTACAAAACACTTTTCACACAAATAAAGTCAGATCTAAATAATTGGAAAAACATCAGTTGCTCATGGGTAGGCCGAGCTAATATAATAAAAATGACAATTCTACCTAAGCTAATTTACTTATTCAGTGCCATACCAATCAAACTACCAAAAAATTATTTTATAGAGTTAGAAAAAATAATAACAAGATTCATTTGGAAAACAAAAGGTCCAGAATATCAAAGGAACTAATGAAAAGAAATGCAGGGGAAGGTGGCCTAGCATTCCAGATCTTAAATTGTATTATAAAGCAGCAATCATCAAAACTGCTTGGTACTGGCTAAGAAATAGAGGTGGATCAGTGGAATAGGTTAAATATGCAAGACACAGTAGTCAATGACTATAGTAATCTATTATTTGATAAACCCAAAGACCCAGCTTCTGGGATAAGAACCACTCTTTGAAAAAAACTGCTGGGAAAACTGGAAAAGAGTATGGCAGAAACTAGGCATAGACCCAAAATCTCACACCATATACCAAAATAAAGTCAAAATGGGTTCATGATTTAGATATAAAGGCTGATACTGTAATAAACTGGGAGAGCAAGAATAGTTTACCTATCAGATTATGGAGAACAGAAGAATTCATGACTAAACAGGATGATAGAGAACATTATGAAAAGCAAAATGGATAACTTTGATTACATTAAATTAAAAAGATTTTGCACAAAGCCAATGAAATCAATGTTAGATGGAAGGCAGAAAATTGGGAAAGAATTTTTATAACCAATCTCTCTGATAAGGGCCTCACTTCTAAAATATATGGAGAATTAAGTCAAATCTATAAGAATACAAGTCATTCCCCAATTGATAAATGATCAAAGGTTATGAACAGGTAGTTCTCAGATGAAGAGATTAAAGCCATCTATAGACATATGAAAAAATTCTCTAAATCACTACTGATTAGAGAAATGCAAATCAAAAACAACTCTGAGGTACCACATCACACCTATCAGATTGGCCAACATGACAAAACAGGAAAATGATAAATGGGTAAGAAGATGTGGGAAAATTCGAACACTATTCCACTGTTGGCAGAGTTACGAAATGATCCAACCATTTTGGAGAGCAATTTGTAACTATGCCCAAAGGGCTATAAAAATGTGCATACCATTTGACCCAGCAATAGCACTTCTAGGGCCATATCCCAGAGAGATCATACAAATGGGAAAAGGAACTACATGCACAAAAATACTTATAGCAGCTCTTTTTGTGGTGGCAAAGAATTAGAAATTGAGAGGACGCCCATCAATTGGGGAGTGGCTGAACAAGTTGTGGTATGTGAATGTAATGGAATGCTCTTGTGCTATAAGAAATGATGAACAGGCTGACTTCAAAAAAACCTGGAAAGACTTATATGGTCTGATGCTGAGTGAAATGAGTAGAACCAGGAGAATGCTGTAAACAGTAACAGCCACACTGTACAATGACTAATATTGATAAACTTAACCCTTCTCAGCAATACAAGGATCTAAGACATCTCCAAAGGCCTCATGTTGGAAAATGCTATCCACATCCAAAGAAAGGACTACAGAGTTTGAGTACAGATTGAAGCATACTACTTGCTATTTTTTTCTTCCATTGTGTTTTGTTTCCTCTTTCTGATGGTTCCTCCTATTGGTTCTAATTCTTACAATATCACTAATGTGAAAATATGTTTAATAGGAATATTAAACACACACACACACACACACACACACACACACACACACACACACACACAAACACAGAACTTCTCTATTGCTCTTTGGGTAATCACCTTCAATTCATCATCAAAGTCTGTGGAATTCAATGCCTCTCATGAAGATTACTAGTTTTAACATCTTGTTAACATCCCTTCATTTCAGGAAGAAGTTCAGGTCATTAAAAGAACTGTGTTGTTCTCAAAGACAATTTGGCCAGATACCTTTGTTCTGTTCAAATATGGGTCCAATTCATTGTCCATTTTAGTAACTTTTCAAGACATATGTTATTTTATAGGTTGATATTCAACTGCATGTCATGGTCTAGACAACAGACATTCTCCATCCACTCTGTGTTTCCTTTGATGTACTTAGGTCAAATTCTTTTGAGTAATTATGGATTTCATATGCTACAGAGGAAAAGACTTCGGATTTTAAGTTAGAGGTCTTTGTTCAAATCTCACTTTTGTTGTTCCCTATGTAATCTTCAGAAAGTTTTTCCTTCTTTTGCCCTCAGTTTCTTCATCTATAAAAAGAGAGGGTCAGATTAAATGATCTCAAAATTGCCTTCTATCTCAAAAGCTAAAATCCTAGGATCATTTAGGAGGCTCTGAACATTTGTTCTTAGGCTTGATGTAGTCAGCAAAAATGTCATTTGCAAATCTGATTATTAATATCTAGCTGTGTATAAAACAGGAATGATGCTCATCATAACCACTAGTCATCTTCCTTAATAAGATTTTACAAAAGAGTTGTCATTAAAAAACAGTATTGTTCTTGATTAACACATCCATCTTCTTGGCAAGGAGATGAAATATCGATTGGGAAAGGCAATTTTTAGGATCTTCTGCTCTTCTGGTTGTGATGTTTGGTTTTGCCTCAATTAAACTTAGTTAGAAAATGGTGATAGCCTGCATACATATCCGTTCTTCAATTCATTTGGCAGTGTCAATAGCTAATTTAAACGAGTCAGCTGGAGGAGGCTTAATTATGCATGAAAACAATGATTCTGATCTTTAACAAATAGATAGTCTGATTATATGTTGATTTAGAAATAACTTTTGCATCAGTTATCTGTTATTTCCTGTTTCAATATAATCAGTTTCATTTCTCATTTTGTTACTCAGTTCTTAAAATGTTCAGAGGCTCCTGATTTTCTTTTGTGTAGAAATTATCCATGTATCATGTATATAAACAAATGTGTGTATATATGTGTATACACACACATATATGTATATATGCACACATCCATACAATGGGTTATGCCTGATATTGATATATTTTAATTATATAGATAAAAATTGCTACATATTACTCGTATAGTCTACAAACTTTTGACTTCTCTTGTAATATGAAATGACTAAGAATGATATTTCTTACTGCTTTTAGATGTGTAATAAACCATTTGCACCAGTGCTTTTGTTTTCCTCTCCAAAGAAAACTTGTGAATCATCTTTCCATTTGACTCTTCTTCTAGTTTAATTAATAAGGATTTCAAGATTGATATGATTTAGTTCTTCTAGTAATATATTCATTCATAAATAATATGAGACAGTGTGATTTGGTACCTTCTCTACTATTGTTATTGTTTCTAAAGAAGTCAAAAGTGGTTTTATGGGATTGATGACCATATTGTAATATTTTATTTTTTTCTTTCATGGGTTGTTGTAAACAGAGTTCTTCACCAAGTAGAAAGCCCAATAATTTTAGGCCCCTCTACACTTTGCTCAGTTGCTCCCCAGGAAGTAGGTCTAGTCTTTCAAGCATGGGAGAATCTTCCAGATACAGCATAATTATAGAGAACCAAGAAGAACCTCTACATCATGAGAAGACATCCAAGTAAGATTTTGTAGAGAATTCAATTATCTTCCATGACTAAGTAAATTCCAATGAATGTAGATCACAATTTGCTACCATTATTAAAATCTAAGAAGGAAGGAAAAATTTAGACATCCTCCAAAATTATCATCTACAATCATATAAAAAAGCAATGACAAGGAAACCAAATAAGACATGGTTCTGTCAATTTTTTCTAAAAAGAAGCATTTTCAATTGTGCAGAGAAGAATGGTTTAGAGGGGAAAATTATTGCTTTATGGATAATCCGATGACATAACAAAAACATTCCTTAAAAAGAAGCCCAATTAATTTATTCTTTTTTATCAGAGCCATTGCCTTCTGGAGGGACTATCCACTTTAAATTCCAATTATAAGCAACAACAAGAAAAGATTAGCCAGTTTAGACTTGAATGGACCTGTAAGAAAAAGAATCATACAGGAAATACAAGTAATATGTCCTTACAATAAACGTTAGAGAAGGCCATGGTAAACCACTTCAGTATCTTTGCCAAGAAAACCACAAGTGGGGACATGAAAAGTCAGACACGACTGAAAAACGACTGAAAAACAACTGAACAACAACAACCACAAGTGTAATACAATGAGTATTTTTGAGTGCCTACAATTAGGCATGCATGGTGCATGGAGGGGTGGAGAGAGGAGAGGAACAAGCCAAATCTAATCTATGTTGATATCTTTGTCCTGAAAAGTCTTAACAACAGTTTTATAAATCAATTAGTGAACCCAAAGAGGAAAAACATTGGCTAACAAACAAACAACACATTTTGGAATGTGATGTTAACAGGCAGTTGAAATCTGAAAAAGTATGCCAACAACTAATTACTCATAGTCTATTTGAGATGAGATGCACCTAGGCACTATTAAGTCACAAAGAAAGGGGCTCAGTAAGCTTCACAATGTCAAGAGACAACCCTTTTGGGGCCTTAGATTCTGGTAGTTATTGATTACAATACTAAGAAGGGTTACAGAGAATCTTCACAACTGTCTGCTATATGCTCTTTGAATTCAGCAGATCGTGTCCTGCACTGGAATACCTAGTGATGTGTGAGATAACATGGGGTAATGAAGACTTTTCTGTGGAATTCAAGGAAAAGTGAAATAGTAGTCTAACAATTCTGAAAACCTAAAATCAGGGGCCTAACCAGGAGAAACTGCACAATTTACATTCTGGAGACTGCCCACTGTGTGTGTCTAATACTCACTACCTTCCACAACATTAGATCCAAAGTCTTCTAATTTCCTTGATCCTGCTAGCGTAACAATGCCCAAACATTTCCTTGCACAACCAAAATATCCAGCAATTATCCTGAGAGCATGGTGGCTTACTCTCTGAGTCCTGTGATTGAGGTACAGAATGTTGCAGATCTGATAGAGGCCTTGAATTATGAGCAGATGTCTTGGCTTTCTCCTTCTCCAATTCCTTCATCTTCTTCTTTCCTTCTTTCATATCTACTTTCTCTGTTATACATAAAAAGAAAAAAAATTATATTCAGTCCTATTTCAAAACCTCAAAACGCATATTTTATTGAAAGGACAGGCCAAAAGAAAAATATTCTTCAACTATAAAACAGAGCCTCCAGAGTCCTTTGAAACATTACTGCTCAACCTTTAGAAATACCCCAAACAACCAAGAAAAATTATTATTGAATTTAATAGATACATGAAAGTTTAAGGATACAGTCTTGAAATATTTTACACAGAGGTTATGTCAAAAATAATTAAATACTATGAAGATGCTATCATCATTATTTTATTGATTCAAAAATGAGCATGCCTAAAGACCATATCCTAAATGAGAACTCTTTGAAAGGAAAAAAATTGTATAACAGCATTTATGTAAAATAACAGATTATATATTACATTTAATTTTAAATAAGGCAGATAAGGAGGTGGAAGGCAAGTACAGCCTGTAATTCAAAATAACACTATATTTACTCTGAACTATGTATCAAATTATCTTTCATCAACATTTTCTGTTGAATATAACAATATAGTTTCATAACATGAAAATACTAGAGGTTTTTTTTCTTTTTCACAAAGTTTAAAGGAATAATTTTAATTCTTCTTTAAGATATATCCCTACTAAACATCTCCACCCCCTTTTACCTAGGAATATTTCTCATTGAATTTTCATCCCTTCCAATACTAGTACATTTATCCTGAGAAAAGACATGATATTCTCTTAGAACAATGCCTATCATATTCTTCTTGTCACACACTTTGCCATTTTTTCTTGTTGGTCTTCTGTTAAAATCTAGTGGGTAGGACTTCCAAGGGTGGAGACAAGATGGCAGAGTACAAAAAGCATTCAGCTGAGCTCTCCCAACACTCCCCTCCAAACAACTTTAAAACGATACCTTAAATTGAATTCTGAAGTGGGAGAGCCAACAAAAGGTCTGAGTGAGACATTTTTCTAGCCCAAGACAATTTAGGAAGTCAGGAAGAAAGATCTATAATATGGGGATAAAGTCTGGCTCAGAGCCCACATGGATTAAATACCAGTAGTGGGAATATGTAGTGCTGACAGAAGCAGTAGATAGCAGCTTTGGGAATGTTCAAGCCAGAGATACTAAGGGGATCTGGCAACTAGTCAGAAAGAGATTAGAGGATGACTGTGCTAGCACTGGATGCAGGACAAGAAGCTGTTTGAAAACTCCATTGCCTATACCTACTTCTGAGTCACAGTTCAAGGGCAGAGAGAACTTTCAGTCAAGAGGGAACTGTTTGGCAACTCCACTGCCTATACCTACTTCTAGGTCATAGTTTAAGGGCAGAAAGGAGCACTTTTGATCAAGAGGCAGCAGAAACCCTGAGGATCAGTATCAGTTCTGATCTCAAGAGGGATGCCCTAGCAGAAGAGGAAAAGCACAGAAAGAATGGGGAAAATTATCTCACATAAAGGAGGTGTGCAAGGAAGAGTTTTTTACATTTGAGGGGAAATGAAATGGGGGGCAGGCAATGCTTAAATTTCACTCATATCTAAATTTGTCCAAAGAGGGGGAATATATACATATATATGTATATGTATGTATGTATGTATGTGACACACACATACACACACACACACACACACACACACATGCATACTATATTGGTAACAGAAATCTATCTAATCAAACAGAGAAGCCAAAGAAAGGGAAAAGGGAAAGGAAGAAATGATAAAATGGAGGGCAGATAAGGCAGTGGTCAGAAGCAAAACAGACTAGAGGAGGGACAGGATAAAAAGAGAGAAAGAATGAAAAAAAGAAAATAGGATGGCAAGAAATGCACAGTTGGTAATCATAACTTTGAAAGTGAATGAGATAAACTCACTCATAAAACTGAAGCAGATAGCAGAATGGGTTAGAAACCAGAATCCAAAAAGATTTTTGTTTACAAGAACATATTTGAAATAGAAAGACACACAGAGTCAAAACAAGTGGCTTGAGTAGAATCTATTATGCTTCAGCTTAATTTAAAAAGGCCATGGTAGCAATCATGATCTAGAAAGCAAAACTAGACCTAGTTAAAGGAGATAAGTAGGGAAAATACATCTTACTAAAAGGCATCACAGACAAATGAAATAATATCAGTACTTAACAAATATGGACCAAATGGCATAGCATCCATATTCTTAGAGGAAAAGTTAAATGAATTACAGGAGGAAATACAATAAAATTATACGAGTGGAAAACCTCAACTTTCCCCTTTCAGAGCTATATAAATCTAACTAAAAAATAAATAAGAAAGAAGTCAAAAGGATGAACAAAATCTGAAAAAAGTCTGATATGCCAGACATCTAGAGAAAACTGAACGGGAATAGAAAGGCGTATACCTTTTTCTCAGCTGTATATTGAACTTTCACAAAAATTGACCACGTAGTGGGGCACTAAAAAAGTCATAAGCAAATGCAGAAAAGCAGAAATAATAACCATACCCTTTTCAGATCATAATGCAATAGAACATTTAATAAAGGGCCTTGGAAGGATAGAATAAAAGTCAATTGGAAACTAAATTATCTAATGCTAAAGAATGGGTGGGTCAAAGATCAAATCACAGAAACAGTCAATAATTTCACTACAGAAAATAATAACAATGAGATAATATTCCAAAATCTGTGGGATGTAGCCAAAACAGGACTTAAAGAAAAATTCATATCTCTAAATGAGTACATCAATAAAAGAGAGTAAGAGCAAATCAGTGAATTGGGGATATGACTAAAAAACTAGAAAAAGAACAAATTAAAAATACCTAGTTAAACACCAAAATGGAAATCCTGTAAAAATAGAATTAAGATAAAATTGGAAGTAAAAAAAAATTTAAATAAGTAAAACTAGGAGTTGGTTTTATAAATAAAAACAGATAAACCATTGATTAATTTGATTAAAAAGAAAAAAGAAGAAAACCAAATTACTAGTATCAAAAATGAAAAGGATAAATGCATCACCAATGAAGATGAAATTAAAGCAATTATCAGGAGGTATTAAAACCAATTATACGCCAGTAAAACTGCAAATCTAAGTGAAATGGCTGAATATTTACAAAAATCTAAACTACCCAGATTAACAGAAGAGGAAATGAACACTTAAATAACCCTATTTTAGAAAATAATTGAACAAGCCATCAATGAGCTCCATAAGTAAACAAACAAACAAACAAACAAACTGGGACCAAATAACTTACAAGTGAATTCTACCAAACTAATCCCAACACTATATAAACTATTTGAAAATTAGGTAAAGAAAGAGTCCCATCAAATGCCTCTTATGACATAAATATGGTTTTTACATCTAAACCAAGGAGACAAAAACAGAGACAAAACTAATGGCCAGTATCCGTAAATATTAATATTAAAAATATTAAATAAAATACTAGCATGGAGATTACAGTAATATATCACAAACATCATATTCCATGATGATGTCAGATTTATACCAGAAATGTGGGATTAGTTCAATATTTGGAAAGCTATCAGCATAACTGACCACATCAATAACAAAAACAACAAAAACCATATGATTAACTCAATAAATGCAGAAAAAGCCTTTAACGAAATACAACACTCATTCTTATTACAAGCACTAGAAATCACAGGAATCAATGGAGCCTTTCTTAAAATGATAAGTAATATCTATTTAAAACCAAAAGCAACCATTATCTGTAATGGGGATAAACTTGAAACCTTCCCAATAATATCAGCGGTGAAGCAAGGATGTCCATTTTAACAACTATTATCCAATATCATACTAGAAATGATAGCTATAGTAATAAGACAAGAAAAAGAAACTGACGGAATAAAAATAGAAAACAAAGAAACAAAACAATCACCCTTTGCAGATGATAGGATGGTATACTTAGAGAACCCTAGAGAATCAAATAAAAAATTAGTTTGAAACAGTTAATAACTTTAGCAATTAACCCATGTAAATCATCAGCATTTCTATACATCACCAATAAAGCATGAACTAGCATGAAGAGAGAGAAAGAAGAATTGCACTTAAAATAACTGCAGACAATATAAAATACCTGCCAAGGCAAACACAGGGATTAAATTATTAAACATACTTCACACAAATAAAGACAGAGCTAAACAAATGGAGAAATATTAATTGCTCATGGTTAGGCTGAGCCAATATAATAAAAATAACAATTCTACCTAAGTTAATTTTTTCAGTACCATACCAATCAAACTACTAAAGGATTTTATAGAGCTAGAAAAAATAATAACAAAATTTATCTGGAAGAACAAAAGGTCAAGAACATCAGGGCAATCAATGACAAAATGTGAAGAAAGGTAGCCTAGCAGTTTCAGACTTCAAATCATATTAAGAAGTGGTAACCATTAAAATAATGTGGTCCTGGCTAAGATTTAGAGAGGTAGATGAGTGGAACAGATTAAATAGATAATGCACAGTAGACCAAAGTAATCTAGTGTTAATAAATCCAAAGATCCAAGCTGCTGGAGTAAGAACTCACCATTTGATAAAAACTGCCAAGAAAGCATTTTAGCAGAAACTAGGCATAGACCACCATCTCATATCATATACCAAGATAAGGTCAAAATGGATAAATGATTTAAAGAATGATATCATAAGCAAATTGGAGTAGAGAAAAATGTATCAGATCTCTGGATAAGGGAAGAATTTATGACCAGAGACAAGGGAGGATTATGGGAAGTAAAACAGGTAATTTTGATTACATGAAATTTAAAGGCTTTTGGAAAAACAAAACCAGTGCAGCCAAAATTAGAAATAGAATAGTTATTTGTGGGAAAAAATTTCATCAAGTTTCTATGAAAAAGGCCTCATTTCTCAACTATATATGGAACTGAGCCACATTTATAAAAAATAAGAGCCATCCCCCAGTTGATAAATGGCCAAAAGATATGAACAGGCACTTTTCAAAGAAGAAATCAAAGCTATCAATATTCACAAAAAAAATGTTGTAAATAACTACCGATTAGAGAAATGCAAATTAAAACAACTTTGAGATACCATATCACATCACTCAGATTGGCTAACATGAGAGAAAAGGAAAATGAAAAATGCTGCAGTGCACTCATAAAAACTGGGACATTAATGCATTGTTGGTGGATTTGTGAACTAGTCCAACAATTCTGGAGAAAAATTTGGAATTATGCCCAAAGGGCTAGCAAGCTGTGCATACCCAGAAATACCACTACTAGGTCTTGATCCCAAAGAGATCAAAGAAAAGGAAAACGGACTTACTTGTATAAAAAATATTTATATCAGCTCTTTTTGCGGTGGCAAAGAATTCAGAATTGAGGGGATGCCCATTAGCTGGGGAATGGCTGAACAGGTTGTGGTATAGGATTGTGATGCAACATTAAACTATAGGAAATGACAAGGGGGATAGGTTTCAGGAAAAGCTAAGAAGAATTATATGAACACATGCAAAGCCAAGTGAGTAGAACCAGGAGAACGTTGTACACAGCAATAGTGATATCGTACAGTAATCAACTGTGAAAGACTTAGCTGTTCTGATCAAGACAATGATCCAAGGTAATTCCAAAGAGGCCATGATGAAAAATACTATCCACCTTCAGAAGAGAACTGATGAACTCCAAATGCAGATTGAAGCATACTTACTTTTAACTTTTTTTATTTTTCTTGGGTTTTTTTGTCTGTGTTTTTTTTTCTTACAATATGGGTAATGTGGAATATGTTTTACATTATTTCACATATGTAATTGATACCAAATCGCTTGCCTTCTCAAGGAGGGGGCTGGAGTAGGAGGGAAAGAGAGAATTTGGAACTCAAAATTTTTAAAAATGATTGTTAAAAATTCTTTTTACATGTAATTGGGAAATACTTAAATAAATAAAATATATTTTTTTAAAAAAGAAATCCAATGAGCAATGGCTAATATAGACATATATTGTTGGAACTATAGAGCTAAAAATTACTTCACTTAAAACCTTTAACTGAGGCAAACAGGGTTAAGTGACTTGTCCAAGCTGATATAGCTAGTAAGTGTCTGAGTCTGGATTTGAACTCAGGTAGATGAATCTTTCTGACTCCACACCCAGAATTCTATCCACTGTGTCACCTAGCTGCCCCATAGAAAATGGAAAAGAGACTTGCTAAAATGTTCTGGGTATTTTTCAAACCATAAACTTCCCAAAAGCTGTAAGAGACATTAAACAAGTTTTACAACACAGCTAAGTTCATCTAAAATGTGTCAATGTATAAACATACATTCTATTAATACTATATTGAATTCTACATTCCACAAGTGAATCTATATTCATTAGAATAGTGACTATATGACAGACATAAAAGAAATGTAAGGCATAGCACATTATAATCATAGCTAGCATTGAACATATAACTAATTTTTCCATATCCCTTTTAAAAAATGAAATTTACTTAGAAAACTGTAGAACTGGAACTTTTTCTTTTCCTTTCCTTTTGTTGTTATTTATTGTTTTTACTTTTTTCAAATATGAAATTCCTTCCTAATAATTTGATACTGAAGCCAAGTTCTTCTCCTGATTAAATATTTTTAATTAACCAATTACAATATTTGTTTTTCTCCTTTATTCCCCTTGGACAGGTAATACTCTAAAAAAAAATGTACTGGATAGAAAATGGTTATTCTCATGTCTTCTTACAAAACAAAGACCAGAAATTCAACATTTAAAAACTGGAGAATTTTTTAAAAGTTTCCTTAAAAAGCAAAACAGAAACACATCACAAAATACATTTTAGATTATAAGAACTTAGCATGGATCATGTCTATTTACATTTTTAATAGTATTCCTATGCATATGAAAGTCAGTAAATACTAGGGAAATTGTCAGGTTAATTAAATTAAACAATGATTATGAAATCTTTGCAAACATCTAGAGACTTCAACATTTTAAAATAATTGCCTACCTTTTCCAGATTTATCACCTTTATCAGCTCCTTTGCCTTGTGTACTTTCACTTTTGCCTTCTTTTCCTTCTCTTCTACCTCTTTCCTCTCTTCCATTTTTTCCACCTCTTTCCTCTCTTCCATTTTTTCCACCTCTTTCCTCTCTTCCATTTTTTCCACCTCTTTCTTCTCTTTCATTTTTTCCACCTCTTTCCTCTCTTCCATTTTTTCTACCTCTTTCATCTTTCCCATTTTTTCCACCTCTTTCATCTTTTCCATCCTTAGAATCTTTTCCATCTTTTGATTTGAAATCTGACAGTTTTTCAGAACTGTTGTCCTCTGGCAGTTTATACTCTGGCAATATTTCTTTCAAGAACTCCCAAACTTTGTCCAAATATCCTTGGCTTAAAAATAGATACGTCAACATTTAGTTTTTTTTCAAAATGAAACTTTTTTCTCTTTATCTAAGGTGCACTTGATAGCAAGTCAGTCTTACAAATGCTGTTCTGTTTCAAGTATCATTGCAGTTGTTTAATATTTATTGAACTCTTATTTTTATATTAACATTCGGAATGGAAAAGAAAATATTTTAAGTAAGTTTTTATATAGTATGCTCATCCTAAAAGAGCAATTTTAACAGTTATTAATTTCATAATAATTCTCACTATACTAATTCTTAGGTATCACTGAGATAATTAGATTGGCTAACACATTGGGGCAAGATTTCTAAGGCAATCTCACTTTGATAGGTTGACAGACACAGGCCATAATCCAACAAGAAACTCCCCATTATGCCCCCGACATGACCACACTCCAAATGTTGGCAATAGCAGCAAGCTATGTTAGGAAAGTCCCAGCAAAGTAAACTAGTTAGATGACCTGCCTTGTCCAACTGAATTATGTAGAAAACAAGTTTCCTAAGTTTGCTATAATATGTAATTCCTCTTTTTCTGTTATAAAAATAAGTTCTATAATCCATTCCTTTGTATCTGACTACTAAAAAGTCAGATAATTTGATTTGTTGGCAACTGCTAGCTTTGCAAATAAATCATTATACTCAGATGCTTTAGGCCTCAGACTTTTGTATTTCAGATTTTAAATCAACATAGTAGAAAGCCTAGACTTCCTACCTGGTTGGCATTCAAGGCTTTCTCAATTCTGATCCCATTCTACCTATCCAAACTTCTCTCTTCACTCCAAGCAATCTAGTCTATTGCTCTGTAAAGAAATCTACACCATAATTTGTTCGTTATTGTATGGCTTCAAAATGTTGAAAAAGTCTGACTTCTTTAAAAAAAAAAGTTGGATAATCCATCTAAAATATCAGCACTGAGTGAATAAATTAGAAACAACTAGGGGCAAATATAATAAGATAATAGATTTCCTTTAATCAGCAGTTCAGAGGAGAAAACAAAAAGAAATCAGAGGGTTGAAGCCCTAGGTGGCTGGATAGAAAACTGAAAATAGGAGAAATTAAGAGTCACTTGAAGGCAATCAGTGCTCTGAATGAGTATCTAGAAGTTATTAAGAAAGTATTTCACGCCTTTTGGAAAGGGCCAAGAATATTGCAAAAAGCTACAAGTTTCTGAGCAAGAAGGTCAGAAATCATGAAAATGTCTTGGGTTGGTCCAAAGACAAGACAAAGATACATATGGAAGCATTTAGAACTATATATTACAATCTACTGGAGAAAATTATGGAAAACCATTCCAGTGTCTTTGCCAAGAAAACCCCATGTACAGTAATGGCATATTATGGTCCACAGGGTCATGAAGAGTTGGACATGACTGAATGACAATGAATGAAGGTACTAACAGAATAATTATACTTAGGAGTACTTTCTTTTCTTTTTAACCCACGCCCTTATGTAGTTATATATGGTGATTTATAAGTGGAAAGTATGGTTAAAACAACATTGTATAGACTAACAACTCTCCTCTCACTAGCTCTGAAGTCAGAAGACCTGGGTTCAAAGATTGCCTCTGATAATTTACTGCCTATATGACTTACTTAGGAAAGTCATTTAAACTCTTGTGCTTCAGTTATCACATCTGTAAAATGAGGAGATTGAATTAAATGGTCTCTTATATCTCTAAGTCTAGAATTTTATGATCCTATTTGTACCATGTATATTCCCACTCCCAGACTATGCATATACCACTTTTCTGTAGTTTTCTTCCCCCTCTTTGCTTAGTCAAATCCTACTAAGTCTTTAAGACCTACCTCAAATTTTATTTGCTCAATAAAGCCTTCTCTGAGCTCATGTTTTATATTGACTGTGTAATATGCATTTTAATGATACAAGATCCTCAAGGACAGTGCAGGCCTGTTGTAGGTGTTCATTAATTCAGGATGTCCAAGGAAGAATTCAGTTCCTTTGAACCTAAACCAATCCTTTCTCCAAACTTTTGTTTTCATTGGAAATATTACCCTTCTTCTAGTCACCAAGGTTCACTTATTAAGTACTTCTGTACAAAGTATTGTTCTAGGTACTGGGGATTCAAAGAAAAATAAGCATCTATGGCCTATACCATGAATAGAAATAAGGGGAATACAAGGAAAATTGAAGAGGGATTGAGCATTAATAATTTGGAATTATTTACAGAGGAAATGACATCTGAACTGATTAGGTAAGACAACGATTCTGAGAGATGGAGACTAGAAAAGAGTTCATTCCCAGAACACAACAAAGAGAAAGTGCACAGAGTTTAGGGAATGACTGGTAGTCTAGCTTTGCTATAATGTAGAATTCATGAAGATGAATAGTATGAAATATGGTTAGAAAAGTAGGTAGGAACCGGACGAAGCAGTAGACTTAGATGCAGGCTAAGGAATTTATCCTCCGTGCTTTAGAAAATAAAGAATTATTGAAGATTTTTGAATAGGAGAGTGCATTCCCAGTCTGTCTCTCTGTCCATCTTTGTTTGCCTGTCTCTCTCACACATACACACACATACCCTTTCTCCCACTTCCCCTAAGTTCAATAACCCACATTACTATTCTTGAGCTCAGGTTATCTCACATTTTTGGTGCTTTGAAGAATTCCCTCAAGGGAACTGATACATTTGCTCAGCTAACTAACCCCCTGAGATTTTTTTACCAATTATTCTGTTCAGAGAAACTTCCTTCCTTCTTACAGACCTATGATTTCATTGATAGAGAACTTCCAGATGAGGCAATTTCCTCTACCAATGCAGGTCAGCACTTTCTTTGCAACTTAAAGCTTTAGAGAGTTTCCTAGAACCCAAAGAGGGTGAGTGATTTGCACAAGGTCAAACAATTAGCATGTCATCCACAAGGCCAGTTCTCCACCCACCATTTCATGATGGCTTATGGTTACTGACTAAATAATTTATTTAGATACTAACCCCCTCTTTGGCCTTGTAATAATTTTTCTAATTACTTTTGGTTTGTCTATAACAAACCAGGAACCCTTTCGCAATACTATGCATAGACAAGAGTACAGTATACCATTAGACTCTACCTTTTCTTTCTGATTCTTGTCTTCTCCAAGCTAGTTTACTGCTTCCTTTATCTTCCTACTCCTCCTGATTCTCCAAGTGCTTTCCTTCTTATTGCTCTTTTATTATTTGTTTCCCATGTCCTATTATATACATTATCTCTACCAGGTATGGCAAGTATTTCCATCAGTGATTGGCAATGACTGGGTGATGGCAAGGTCATTTATATAACAGGTCTCAAGCCATAAATTCATCTTCATTTTTTTTCCATTCTTCCTCATCTCTCCAAAGCCAATCAATAACCAAATCTGATCTATTCAAATTACATGACATCTCTCATATCCCTCCAATTCACATGAAGACAGTTCTAGATCAGACCTTCGCATCTGCCGTCACACACGAAAAAAGTTTCCTATCATGTCTCTGCTTCCATCCTCTAACTGCTATTCAGTTGTTTCAGTCGTGTCTGACTCTTCATGACCCCATTTTGGGTGTCCTTGCTAAAGATACTGGAGTGGTTTGCCATTCTCTTCTCCAGCACATTTTAGAGATGAGGAAACTGAAGCAAATAGGATTAAGTGACTTGCCCATGGTCATGCTGCTAGTGAGTGTCTGAGACCAGATTTGAATTCAGGTTTCACTAACTTCAGGCCCAATGCTCTATCCACTGCATCAGCTAGCTGCCAAAATAATCTTAATGCACATATCTGACCATGTTACTTCCTTTAGATGCCTTATCTCCAAAATAAAACCTAAACATCTTAGGAAGAGAGATACATACCTATTCTATTTCAGGGAGGGGATGTGGGGAGGAAGTAAAAGTCCAGGATGAGTTTTATATACCTACTGTGCTGGTACAGGACTTGAATAATATCAGATCAGTCTACAGGCCACTATCTATTGTTTCTTATACAATTTTACTCAATAAACCTTTAGAATACCCCACTATATGCCAAATCAGCTTCTCAGCCTGTCATTCTAGGTCTTCCACAATTCAGTCCAACCTACCATTTTAACCTTAGAATTAACACCCACTGAATTAAGAAAAATGACAAAACATGGAATAATTATAGGGACTTTGGAGGAAAAAATTCATGCCAATTCACTTCTCATAGAGCTATTAATTGGTTCAAATGTTCCAAAAGACGGTGTGAATTATTATTCAACAAAAGTAACTAAATTGTTTATTCTCTTTGATTTAGAGATCCCACTACTTGGAAAAAATATGCCTAAAAATGTTCATAGCTGCATTATTTGAGATGACAAACATTAGAAAATAAAAGAAAATATCAAAAAATTAGCTCAATAATAGGAGAATTGCTAAACTCTAGGAAGATCAATGAATATTACTTAACTATAAGGAATGACAAATGTGAAGAGTTCAAGGAAATAAAGGAAAGCCTTTATTGAATGATGCAGAAAGTAGGAAGCCAAGACAAAAGAACAACATACACAGTGAGCTCAGCAATACAATTAAAGTCAACAAGAGGAAAAAACAAAACAAAACAAAGGCATCCTAGGAGGAGAAACCTAAAGGAAGATGCACATCTCTCCATTTCCCTTCATCATTTTACACATGGGGACAATGAGGCTCAAAAAGGAGGAATGACTTATTCAGAATCACACAGCAAATAGTAGGAAAGACAAATCTAGGGCTCTAGTCTCATGATTACTGGTCACCATCCTATCACCAATGCCGTTAGCATTTCTAACAAACATGGAGGAAGAAGATACTGGAAAACATTAAACCTCATTAATCTGTATGTTTTTACTTTTTAAAAGTATTCCTGCTTTACTCACTCTATTTGTACATAGAGTCAAGTGTTGTCTTCTCCTAGTTGGAAGGTTTTTTTAATTCTATCTCACTTTATGTCAGTCAAGACAGTATCTCTTTAAAGCACTGACATAGCTTCCCCTAAAAGTTGCTAATGGTAGCTGACAGGGCTGCTCTCTAAGTGAGTGCTTTACTTTATTCCTTAGAACATCTGAGAATTCTTTTTTTCCAATAGTAAAAGCATTTCTTTATCTATACAGCCTGACTACTTAATAATCAACTGAGATTGAGGCCAGGGGTTTTTTGGTATCTGTGTTGATGCAAATTAAGTTTATTAAATATTAAACATATTTAATACAATAAAAATTAAATATATAAATTATATGTTAAATATAATGAAATAAAACAGGTAAGAGTTACTTTTGTTGAATAATCACTAATGTTTTATCATTCATAAATCAAATATTTTGGTAATTATATTACAGTATATGAAATCAGAAGCCTGTATAGTAAATTTCTCAAGGAATTTTTAAAAGTTCTTAAAATGTTATCCAGCTCTTGGCTGGTATATAGTAGATGTTTAATAAATGCTTGTTGACTAACTGGCTAGTTAACACTATTCAAAATATAACCTTTCTTGAATTTTATTCTTAAAGCCTTTTACTTTAAAAAAAATCTTTCAAGAAAAGCTAAATTACTAACTTAATTAACAAATTTACCGGAGAGGAATGACTTCTGGTAACCATCCTGTAAGTGCATGAAGAACTGTGAATTCCCCTAACTCTCTTTGGTCAGCCATGTGGATGCTAGAGAAAAAAAGAGTCAAATTTTTTCATGTTATCAAAATATCAAAATTTGGACAAATATATAAGGCCCACAAAAAGAGGGTGAGAAACTCATGTAACTTCAGAAAGAAGCCAGCTCCTTCACTTTTCTTCAGCAAAAAAGTATCAGTGGTGCTAAAATTTCTTTTGGCATGATTTCAAATTAAATTTTTAACAATATCTTAAATAGATATATCGTTGGAATGACTTGGAAATGCTCATAATAATCAAACCCTTACATACATGACAATAATATTTAAATTTCACTATTTTACATTAAGAAAAAAAGAAATTATCTAGCTAAATTCTGGCTTCAGGGAAATTGGAATATTAATTGAATATAAATGAAGAAAAATGAAGTCATATAAATAAGAAGAGTACCATGGAGTAGTCACAAAGTGAAGAAGATGTGAGCTCAAGTACTATTGCTGACCCATACTAGTTTTGTGACCTCTCAATGCTTTAAACAATGCTCTAAATGTTTAACTTACAGAAATGCCAACCTGCATTAGTAGAGGGAATTTCTTCACCCAGGAGTTCCCTATCAAAATGAAATCACAAGTCCATTCCCTGTCCCTAAGGAACAGAACATATTTCCTCCCAAAAAAAATTTATGCAATCTCAAGGCACTGGTAACATTAAAAAGGCTACTCTCATAATTTCTATAAAACTTGTCTGGCTTCAGGGAAATTGGAATATTAATTGAATATAAATGAAGAAAAATGAAGTCATATAAATAAGAAGAGTACCATGGAGTAGTCACAAAGTGAAGAAGATGTGAGCTCAAGTACTATTGCTGACCCATACTAGTTTTGTGACCTCTCAATGCTTTAAACAATGCTCTAAATGTTTAACTTACAGAAATGCCAACCTGCATTAGTAGAGGGAATTTCTTCACCCAGGAGTTCCCTATCAAAATGAAATCACAAGTCCATTCCCTGTCCCTAAGGAACAGAACATATTTCCTCCCAAAAAAAATTATGCAATCTCAAGGCACTGGTAACATTAAAAAGGCTACTCTCATAATTTCTATAAAACTTGTCACACATCACCTGAGTCTTCACTTCCTAAGTGAAATAAAAGTAATCTTATTCTTTATGCTCAGAAGCTACCTATATTTTATTTTGACATACAGAGGTAAGGAAGCAAAGTGTCACTACAATTTTACAAGTTATTTATTTGATGATGAATTAAGCCAGTGTCTGAATTATCTATAGAAGCTATTGATAAAGTAAGGAATTTGGGAAATTCAGAATCATTGCCCTAGGACAATCAAATACCAGAATGTTCTATTATGCTATTGTTTGGCAGCCACTTGAAATCAAAATCTCCCAATATGCTTCTCAAAGAAAAACAAACTACTTATAAGGATTCAAGCTGGGCTTTGAAGATTTGTTTTAATTACTGGTCTTATGGTGTTCACATTCATACTAGGTCTCTAAAGCTATTGTAAATCATTTGCAGTCACTTTAGAAATAATTAAGAGTCTTTGTATGCCATTAAAACTGGATTTTTGGTTTGTTTTTATGGAAATATTGATAACTTATTCCTTCAACATACTCAACGTTTGCGAGCTTAATGATGGCTTTAGCTAAAATCATTGGCCAAAGTTCAACGTCACAAGTTGTGGCTGGAAGTAATAATCTATTCTCTTCATCAAATGGTAGGGTGTCATCAACAGTTATCTTTCTCCAACAACCCTAAAAATAAGAAGAAATTTTAAACATTAATGAAAATTTTAAAAGTTAGTATCCATGATAAACATACTACCAAAAATTTTTAATTATTTTAACCAGATTTTATAACACTACAGAAAAAATTAATTACTTAGATTTTTAACAGATATTTTACATTCTTGCTACAAATAATAAGTAGTATCACTAATTAAAAGGCAATGGCCAATTATGACTACTATTAATATCATGACTATTATAGGCACCTGTGTCTAAGAATATCTAGCATCACTTCCGTTGAGAATTTCAAATTTCTCAGGAATTGAAATTTTGCTTTATGTATATTCAAAATGTAGGTAGGATGTGAGTGCAGGAAGAACAAACATCAGTGTAATCACATTGCAAAATAAAAAGCCAAAGAGATATACAGTTGAATTTTAAATAATGCCATTAATAATTCTGTCAATAAAAAAATTATTAGTTTGCAGCGTTATCCCATTCTACAATGATCAAATCTTTTGTACTAAGTTGGAAAATGTTGTGACAAAATAGAGCTTTTGCTTAAAGGATCAACTATGTTCATTTAACTTTAAAAAAAATTGGAATTAAAATGGTTTCAAAGAGAACAATTAAAACACTGTACTACTAAATGATAAGTATAGGCATTACCTACAGAGCCTAATAGTTATTTTTGCTCATTTTAAAATTCAAATTTGAGCAACTACTTCTTATTTCTCATTCTGTTAGATTCAAGTATGCCACTCCTACCATAAAGTAAATTATTTCTGTAGGTAATGTTTTTGTTTCCTAAATTCATACATAATTTGTTTGAGGCAGCATGGCAGAGCAGATAGGACACTGGAGTAAAACTAGGAATATTGGGATTCAAATCTCACCTCAAAATGGACAAATTACAACCTCTTTATGCCGCAGTTAACCTCGTCCATAAAATGAGGGGGTTGGACATGATGACCTCTTAGGTCCTTTCCAGCTCTAAACCTGTGATCTTATTAATATTCTTAAATTTTTATCTACACCTATATAACAAGATTCAGGAAATAAGTATTTCTATGATAACATTAATTTTCTATACATAAGAGTAGCAAGTGTTGAAATAATGTTTTAACTTGAGAAATTAAATGGCAAACACGCCAGCACCAGTCAAGGTCAGAACTTGAGCTAAAATATTCTAATCACTAGATACCATGTTCTTTGCACTACTCTGCAGTGACTCATGCTGCTTATATTACAGCTGTTCGTTTATTGTGTGCCTACAATTAAAAAGAACTGAACTAAATGCTGTGGGGGATACACAGAATAAAAAGACATCTGCAGCCCTCAAAAAGTTTATAATATAGGGGAGAGAAAAAACATGCACATAAAGACAAAATAGTGCATGAAAAAGCACGTAAGAAGTGCTATGATATACTATAACTGACCAGCAACCCTTTCAAGAATGGATGTGAACCAGAACAGATTCATCTTAAGCCACTCCTTAGGGTACTAGCTATGTCCAGACCAAAATAGTCAAAGAAAACAGTTGCAATCACATGACACACCTACAGGAATACAGAGGGGACACGTCCAGCTGGCTTCCCTTCCCATATTGGAGAAATTCCAACAGAACACACATGATGAAAATGTCTCTGGAAAGCTAGATTACCACAGCGACCCTAACCAAAGGAATAAGACCTGCTAATGGTGGAGAGACTCAATATTTCAATCCTTGAATTTTACAATTCTTAACCTTTTTGTTTGTTTTGTGGACCACTCCAGCAGGCTGGTGAAGGATATATACCACTCTCATAATAATTTTAAATGTATATTTGAAGAAAATAGTATCTTGCCATTGGTAGATTGTGAATTTATTTAACTCCTTCCATCCAAATTCATGGAACCCCTGAAATCTATCCATTGACCACTTGGGAATTTGTGGACTCTATGATCTCGTCAATGTAGGCAATCTCTCTATGGCAAAAATCACAATTAATTCATGCTCTCTTGTTCTGTTCAATTCTTACTCATATCTTGCCATAAACCCTTCACAAGGGAATTTATTCAATACGCTTTCCTTCAGGATTTTATTATACATAAGCATTTGGGCTATCCAACTGCTACTCCTTACTCTTTCTAGATGGCCAGCATGCCTCCTTTTAAGCCATTTGTATCTTGGAAAATACTATGCTAATTCTTTATCTAAATTACCACTGATGGCAAATCCCATAGCCCACTTATACCACCCATAGACTATTTCATTGCTTTTTGGGTGACTTAATTTAAATTCTTCAGAGATTATAGTATTCTGTGACTTGTTGCTATAGAGTATGATAAAAATACTAATGTTAAAAAGATGGATTTTAGCTTCAGGGAAAAGCTTGGAGTTATTAAAAGTCTTGCATAATTTTCTAAATGCAATCTTGTTTACCCTCTTCATTCTATAATCCTGGGCCCAGTTCATCAACTATCTGTGGTGTTTATCCTAGATATATGTACTAATAGACCAATCTAATAATAACAGGCTCCAAAAACTCTAAACAGCTGAGAGTTCCCTAATGAGGGGTGCCTTCCTCCAGCAACACAGGATAATCCCTCCCAATAATGCCAATAAAAAAGGCTTTATGTCCAGCCTTTAATCTGGTTCTCTAGAGCCACAGAATGAATAGCTTTCACAACACTATCTCCTTTTAATAACCTTTAGAGCATTATGATAACTTCAGGAGACACTGATCAAGCATAGCTTCCACTGAATCTCTATACAAAGACTCATCCAGGGCAAATCATAAGGTGTTTGCCAGCCTAGACTTCAAATAAATCTAGTTTTGCCACAGATGCATAAAGAAAGTGGGGGGAGGGGAAAAGGAACTTCCCCATTCAACCACTAACCCAGACACCATAGAAATGAACACCATAGAAATGAACAAGTATGACCTAAACACAAGGAACTAAAAGTAACATAATGGTAACAATCCTGGACTTTAGGCAGAATTCATAGGATCATAGGATAATAAATTTAGAACTGGAAGGAATTTTATAGTTCATCTATTCCAATCCCTTTAATTTATAGAGGAAGAAACTAAAGCCTATAGAGGTTGTGACTCACCCATGGGTACAAAACTAAGAAATGTCAGAGGACTGATTTGAATTCAGTGTTCCTGACTCCATATCCAATATACTGTCCATGATATCATGCTGTGTTGGTTCAAATCTGGGCAAATCACTTCAGCCCTGTCAGTTTCTTCCTTTATAAAATCAGGATAATAATACCTGGAGGACATATTTCACAAGGTTTGTTGTAAGGTTCGAATGATATAATGGAGATAAATGCTATGAAAATCAAAAAGCACTTGATAAGTGTCATCTATTTTAATAGTCAAGTGAATACCTGATCTTCACTAGTTGGAGCTTCCCTCTAACAACGCAGTTACAATCCATCTATGCCTATTCATCTCCTGTGAGTCTTATACATGTTTTGTACATGTCCTCCAAAAAGTCCACCACACAAGGTCCAGCTGATATGCTACTGGCCTTCCTCACTTTTTCCCAACATTGTGAAGTGACTAGTAGAGGTACCTTCAGGCTATTCACCTGTCACCTCTCATTTTTGCCATATAACCATTCCAGCTTTTCTTTCTATCACATAATTCCTTAACAACCTCTTTTACTCTGGTTGTTCTGCTGTGTTTCTCATTGGTTTATATTTTGCAACATGTTCCCACCCACCATGTGTGTGTGTGTGTGTATGTGTACATATACAGAGAGAGAGAGAGAGAGAGAGAGAGAGAGAGAGATACACAGAAATAAATGGAGATAACCATGGCGGCCTTCTTGTTAAAAAAAAAAAATAACCAAGACTTTTAAGATGGGGTTTTCTTTTGTACTATGAAGTCAAGTGCTTTTCATAGTTAGAAACAATAAACACAAAATCTACTTGTTCTCTAAAAATATACTTACTGAAAATGCCCTCAATTTGTGTGTAGGTGACCATCATAAATTTTTTTTTCACAATGGAAGACTAGGCATATAGACAGATAATTATTGATGCTCTGTCAGTCACCTTTCAGTATTAATAAGGTATTAATAATAACTTGTTTCCACACTTTCAGTATCTTCTCTTCCTTCAGATACCTTGTATATAAGGCCCTCAATACCCTCATAATAGTATTCCTTTCAGTACAGATCTCCTTTATATAGACTTGGTCTTCTCTATTTTTTCCATCTCTGGTTTCTTTAGTGCTATTTTTAACTCCTCTGTAAGAACATCTAGGATTTTTATGGCAGGGTCCAAGTATTGTGTTTCCATTGCCCTTAATGTTTCAATTTTTTTTTCAATTTTAATTACTTGTGACCCTCTTTCCATTTTAATCCTTGAATGCCACTGGAATGATCTTAATTGGGTTGGATATGTTATCAAGATTTCTTTAACTTGGTTTTACCATCCACTCTTCTATTTTTTATGAAATGTTCTTGCTCATAAATGTCCATTATCCTTCTTTGTAATATTATTAAAAGTTTATATTCTTACTTTCTGTTGCCTTTGGCAGTCATCTCTCTCCACTTCACTTATTTGCTAAAATGCTTTCTGGTGAATGCTTCTGGTGAGCTTTTGCTCTCCCCATTAATTTGCCACAACTGATTTTGGTTTAACTTCTGAATTAAATTATTTTAATCAGTGTTGTGATCTCTGCTACTTATTTTAAAATTTCTTATTGTTATTTCATCTTATTACTCTCATCTTTTAGTGGTGTTCAGATAGAAACAGTCCTGGGACAAGTCATTATCCTGCTATTATTCTTTCATGTTTTATGTTCTTTCAAAACACTCTTTTTTAATGTTCTAATACACAGGTGCGTAAAATAACTTTTTATAGATAAATATTAGGATATAAACATCCCTTTATAGGTTCACTTCAGGCATCCTCAGTATAACTCCAGCATAGTTAGGACAACAGAAATATGTACAACATGCTACTCTCGTATTATTTTGTTTTCCTCTAATAGGTCTTTATATTTTTAAAGCTTTTAATTCTA